AATGAGCATAATAATCAACGCTACAAGTAAACAACCCTAAAATTAAATAAAAATAAAAAAACTAAATATATTATATAGTAGGTTAAAAACATTACATATCAAAAGCTAGTCTAAAAAGATACTTTTTAAGTAAAGATTTAAAACTTTCAAAAATTGTCCTCAAGACGGATAAAGGGGCAGATTGTTCCATAAATATAGGGGCCCCAGATGAAGAAGCAAGATCCCCTTAAGTCTTTTTCAGTTTTAAACTAGGATACTTTAAGATAAGACCGCTAGCTGAACGGAGATAGCGCGGCTGTTCTTTAATAGCAATCAAATCAATCAAGTAACCAGGCGCATGACCGTAGATATATAGCTTTAAAAGTAAGAAGAAGTATTTCAAAATCAATACGAAATTTGACAGGAAGCCAATGTAACGAACATAGCTGGTGCTAGAGGAACATTAGATATAACCCGAGCAGCTGCATTCTGCAAACGTTGCAGTTTAAGTAGACAGAACAGAGGGTACTAAACCAAATAGAAGGCTGTTGCAGTAATCTAAGTATAGGATAAAGATTCCTGAGACAGATACTTTCGGATGCGCCGAATATTGTATAAATGGAAAAACCCAGATTTGCAAGTTTTGTGGATCTGTTCCTGGAGATTCAGACTACAGTGACAGGAGCAACGTCAATGCTTCCTACGGTAAGGCTATCAATATTCAACTTTGGAATGTTGCTGTTTTGTACCAATCAACATGAACTCAGTTTTGTCATCATTAAGTTTGAGCTTATCCGTAAGCATATTCGTACGAATGTCCGATATATAGCGTTCTATGGCAAGAACCGCATCTGTCTTATTAGTAGCCGAGCCAGGACTAAACGACAGCAGGTAAAGCTGAGTGTCATCAGCATAGGTAGGTGCCTCAGATAAATGGCATTTGATGACTTCAGAGAGTTTGCTGGAGTAAATGGTAAACAACAATGGCCCCAGACACGATCCTTGTGGAAAGCCATAAGAAAGCCTAAAACTGTCAGATGTAAAGCCATTTAGCGAGACTCGTGCGACCCATTGTTAAGATAAGTCGTAAAAACCAATTCAGGGCGGTGCCATTAATTCCGATACTTGACTTAAGACGAACAAGCAGGATTTTGTGGTCAACAGTGTCGAACACGGAGCTCAAATCTACAAGAACTAGAAGGGTTACATGCTTGCAATTCTTATTCATGAGAATGCCATTTTAATAACAAAAGCCTATACACAGAAGCTAAATGGTTTCGTAAAAAAAATGATAATAATAATACAGAAGCATGCCTATGAGTTAAAAGGTCCTAAAAAACAGGCCTATATACTCGTTAAGGTCNAAACCAATTCAGGGCGGTGCCATTAATTCCGATACTTGACTTAAGACGAACAAGCAGGATTTTGTGGTCAACAGTGTCGAACACGGAGCTCAAATCTACAAGAACTAGAAGGGTTACATGCTTGCAATTCTTATTCATGAGAATGCCATTTTAATAACAAAAGCCTATACACAGAAGCTAAATGGTTTCGTAAAAAAAATGATAATAATAATACAGAAGCATGCCTATGAGTTAAAAGGTCCTAAAAAACAGGCCTATATACTCGTTAAGGTCCTTTTTAGTTTTGGGGTACCCATGAAATTCCGCCTCCGCCGCTCCGAATGCGAGATGCAATTCAATAACATTGAATAGCAAGTTGACATTTTCAATGATGCCGATAAGGGTATTCATCAATTCATTGACTGGGCACATATTGGCAATCATTGGTATAAACATAACAGGCGGCCACGTAATATTGTCTTTCAAATAAATTTCTTTTATCAAATGACCTACAGCTGTAGTCCGATCTTCTAATGAAAGTACTCTTCTACTTCTACTCTGACTTCTACTAGAGGATTTACGACAACAATAACGACATACAATTTTGAACAACAGTAAAACGAGCAGTGATTTTTTCTGATCAAAGAAATGTTTAAAAAAACTTGCCCAAAACAGTATATTAATTGTTTTTCCCCTAATTATGTTACTTTGAAGTCCCCGCTCAATAAGAAGTTTTTATTTACTAGGAAGGAAATAATCCCCAGATAGAAGTCCATTAACAGATGGCTTAAAAAATCTTCAAAAATACCGGTTGGCAATTAAGCCTAAATGATTGCTATAACCTAGGTAATCCTTTTAGTGAAAACAGATTTCCGTAGGAGTACGGGAGATTTAAAGTCAGTGAGAAACATTGAAGTAGAATAACTGCAAATAAACAGTCTAAGCATGGCGAGAGGAAAAAAATAAAATAAATTCAAATACTCAGGGAAGTAAAATTCGTAGACAGCCTGCAGGGAACGTAGCTCAAGAAAAAGAAATAAATCATTGATATATAATTGCATGATTGTTATTCTGTCATGTTTGTTCTTATTAGTATTCTAGCTTTTTTTGTTTTTTTCCAATGTTTATACTTACGAAGCACAGTGGGATAGCTGGGGCATAAACAAAAATTTGCATTTTCTTTTAAACAATTTTTTTCAGAACAACAAACTGCAGTTTGCTTATCATAAATTCATCCGTCATTCAGTGTTGATGAGCTATGTTTGGTTGGGTTCCTACATGCAAGTGATCGACAGTCATCAGGTCATACGTGAGTAACTGGTAAAGCTCTGATTGTTTGCTCGATTGAATCTTGAGAGTATAATTCGTATGAACTGAGTATTGAGTCAAGAAACTTAGAGGTGTTGCAGGCCAGTGAGGGTTCTTAGGCATGGTCACAGATCAAATGCTGCATTAACACTCTAGTCTTATATTTAGTCTTACGTAACTTCATGAATGCTAGTATATTTCTAACGACATGGGAATCTCTAAAGCCGTTTTCTTGAGTTGAATTACTAGATAAGTTCAAGATTCGAAATGAATCTAAATCTCGAGTAATTGTTTAAAATTGGAATTGCAGGAGTTATATTTTAGTCATAAAAGATTCATAATAATCTAACTTTCGCTGTGCTTTGTTGACAAGTCCGTTTGGCAGTTCAGCTGGTTAAAAAATCTTCCGATATCGGCTACAAGTCGGCTATGAAGTAAGTCGTTTCAGTGTTTTACCCCACCGTAATAATATTAAACTACGTAGTTTCTGCGAAACTTAATTACCACTTTCCTACGAATTATATCGAAGTTCACAGAAATGTAAACGACCAGTCCGAAACATTCAGTTTTTCAAAGTTACTGCTGTTCATGATACTGCTAATACACTACAACAGATTTAAGAAATCATCTGGCTACCTCTAGACGATACCCAGCGGTAAATAATTAAGAACGGCCTGATACCCAATCTGCCTGATTTGTTGGACCGTCAGACTGCGCCGACTGAAATGAATGTGGACACTGGTCTTAAGCTATCGAAGACGCTCTACGCTTAAGATTATTGTTTATAATTGATTCAAGTGGGTAAGGTTCTTTTTTAAAGAGGGCTTTATTAAAAAAGCTGCGTTGAAATGACCTCAGCTTTTGTTTTATTACTTAAATATTTTAAATGTGCGATATTAATTCGAACTGCATGTGCTTAAAATTGATTTTGCTTATTTAATGACTGAATAATCAAAATCTAACGTTTTGATACTTGTCAAAGGTAATGATAACATGACTCGGTATAAATTCAGAATCTGAAACTCCTCATTTATTTTCTTTTCCCTCTCTAAGTGACATTGAAGGTATTATATTTGAGGGAAAAAATTCTTGGAAAAACGGCTCCGTTTCATAGCAACCGTGCCAAAATTAACTCGTCCCCCCCGCCTGTGGGAGGCAGAGGACGAGAAATGAAAGAGAACAAAAACTTTTTGTTTCTAAAGAAGGAGCAGTAGGAAATATATACGCTAAACTTGTGAACACGAATATGACACATTCTGCTTTTAAAAAAGTCAGAGTTCTTTAATTAGCGCTTCCATTATAATTAATACTGTGGATGTTATATTTTTTCAGCGCACACAGTTGCTACATGTGTAGACTACGTACAATGACAGTGCTCACTTTCATTTAACACGCAATAGGTTATCGTAGTTACGTGTACGCAACTTAAGCATTTTGAAAAAACAAACAAACAGACTGGATGCAATAAGATTCTATGACATCTGCGATACCGGTGAATCTTAATCTTAATTTTGGTACCAATTATTTAAAATCCAACTTTTCAATTATTTGGTGCAGAAGTAATTAAATAAGTTCAATGCGGTTAAACGTAACAATTAACTCGAAGTAAATTATTTGTCTGAACCACCCCTCCCCCGGAGAAACACTCCTCTCCAGGTCAGCCTCCTTTAAAACCTGCATCTGCTCCTAAAAAATGAATTTTAAGCTAGGCTATTAATTAGCGTAGGGACATCATATTCGTATAGGTAATAGCAAGATATGTAATGATGTTTGGCATAAATACCACGAGTGATATTTCAAAATTGTTATACGTAATTTCACGAACCGTTAGGCGAGTGAAATTTGAAACAATTTTGAAATACCACGAGTGGTATTAATGCCAAATAGCACGTAAAAATCATGCTATTTGTTTGTACCACTACCCGCAAACTACCCGCAATAGTTTTGTGATTTTTCAAATTAAGCTGAAGTACCACTGGTCTAAGCCAATCAAATGACAGACATTTCTCATGTAGTGGTATAGATAAATATATTCAATCTTGGACAAGAAAAAATGGAACTACCTGATCTTGATTGCAGTGAGCTTCTTGTAGGGTCGACTTTCCCTCTATATAATTGGTACTTCATCAGTTCCTCACCCCTTATGCCTGAAGAATTTTTTTTACAAAGACGCTATTAATTAATTATGTGAAATAATTATTATGTAGGTTTTGAGGTTCTGATGCCAGGGTTGTTGCGGTTTTCTTTAAATAAATCACCCATAGTACTAAACTGATTTCGCGGACGTGTTTAATTATACTATCTTTAGTCTTGAATTCAAAATACTTTGATTGTTACTAAGAAAACCCCTGGAATCTATTTGTACAGGGGATGGATGAAAAAGAGAAGAGCGGGATGAAAGAACGCTCAGAGGAAACGTTCGTATCATTAATAAAAGACTTCTGCGGCTACACTTCTGCGCATGGCCCTGAAAGAATTATGTCTGCAAAACAATGGATACGAAAAGCTTTCTGGAGCTTGCTTTTTGTCGCTGCAATCACCGTGTTAGGAATGCAAGTTCGTGACGGTCAATAAGTAAAAGAGCTAAGTGGATGCGATGTTGTTGCTCGAGAAAGCAATAACGAGTGCTGGTGGGCGAGTAGAAGCGTGGAAAGTAAAAGACGGAGCGAGACACCGTTCCCTGGCGCGCGGCGGACGGGGGTGGCGGAGCCGTGTGGGGGGGGGGGGGGGGGGGGGGGGTGGGGGGGGGGCGCGGTGAGCAGTTGGGTGGCGCCGTGGAGAATATAGGCGGGAGGGTAAGGGAGGCAGGCAGAGGAGAAGGCTGGAGGTGGGAGGTCTAAAAGGGTGGGAAGCTGGAGTAATAGGAGAACATTACGCAACAACGCTTTATATTGCGCCTTCAAAAAAAAGCGCCAAAATGGGGAAGGAACCGGAAAGGCAGGGTACGGGAGTCGGGAGGTTTGGACTCCCCTGTTCCCCCTACGGAATTATTGAAGTCGTTTTAGTAAGGAGGGCAGGTTGAAGTGTTTGTTCAAATTTCGACTGCTGCAAGTCTTGTACTTCAATCCGGGATATCAGGACGATAACGATGATAACAACATTTGCAATGATAACATTAACGATAACAATAACGATATAGATGTCTGAGCTAAAGACAAAGATGAAGATATCAGAGCAATGATAATGGCGACGTCAGTATCGAAGACGATATGGATATGAATGCTAACACTTTTGATCACGATGACATTAATGATTAGAAAATGAGTGAAAACGATGACGAGGCTACAGTCAGTGACACTAAAGCTCATAACAGTGATACCGACTTGAACGAAAAAAAAGTTATATCACCGCCATTAGACTTAAGTGCTTTAAAAATGTTGTGTTTATTTTTCTTACAGAGTCTTCCTTTTCCAGTTGTTACTATCTGCAATTTTAATGCTCTTAAATATGACTCGCTCCTCGAGAGCAACTTGACTGCTCTCAAAGCGACGTTCCCAGCACGAAGTAAGTTGTTTCAGGGTGATTTAATATTCGAATAGTACGTTCTTTAAAGTGATGTATACCTGCTTGAATTTTTGCATGCTTTACAAGACCTCATCGCCCCGCCATGTGATGTAATCCAAGATAGTCTTGGATAGATTCCTTGTCGGTGGAACTTGGATTCCGGATTTCATGCGGTTAGCGGGATTCCGGATTCCACCAGAAAAAAAAAATTCCAGTTTTCTGAATCCCGATTACCTTGCATGGAGCGAAACTCAATTCGGCGTTTAATTATATGCTTTCAACGCGCTGTGTGATTCAATGAATGTAAATACATCCAACGGGTGAAGAAAGTTGACCGCTAATTTAGGGTAGTGCAGCCTATCATGAAACCAGCAACATATCATGTTATTGAATGTGAATTCGAAATAATCAGCATGTCTTAACATTTCTTCACCGAGCTTAAAATTTACCATCTTTCATTCTTTCGTCATATCATCTTATTCTAATCTTCTTACATTTCGCAGATACCTCATCCTCCCAGCAAAGAAGAAGGCGTCGATCAACAGACGATTTTGGAAGCACTTCTCCGACCACCGATCCCACAAACAACGAAGATTATGAGAATTGGTATGACTGGGAAGGGGAGGACTCTGTTGACTACGACGCAGAATACTTGGCGACTGAAAAAGTGGCTCTTCTCATGGCGGAAGAAGATGAAAGTGTTCTTTCGTCTCTCGGTCATCAGTTCGAAGATATGGTATTGTCGTGTACCTTCCGGGGAATTCAATGCAGGTACTGTACATATCTGTACTTTTTTAAGGCATGATTATGCAACCGGTTCGCTAAGCTAGGTAATTTGCTCGTTTGTTAGTTATTTTTGTTTTCAAGTTGTTCCCAATTTTAAAAGGAAACTTAATTTTAAGATGTATCTTTTTTCTTTTACCTAGCAACTTCACAGAAAGATTTTGGTCCAAATATTGGCACTACAAATATGGAAACTGCTATGTTTTCAATAGCGAATTAACAAGGTCCGGAGCAAAAAGGAAACTTCTGATATCAAACAAGGCGGGTCCTTCTCATGGTGAGTTTTTTATTTAGTTGTGTGGAAGTTATAGACGAATTTCTCGACACTGGAAGGTTTTCTCCCAACCGTTCACGGAAGCTTCAGTTCCTGCAATAGTTGCCTCAGTGTTCACTTAAGTGACTCTCATAAGTATCGTACGGGTGTAAGATGCTTTAGCAATGTATGGTGGGTAGCAAACGTACAGTATTTCAAGTTACAATTTGCACCATCTTTATGTGTTCATTTGCTGCTTGATCACATCGGTCCTATTAGTTTTCTGCGTATGATCTTAGTAACTTTTATCTTATCCTCAGGTCTTAACCTTGAGTTAAACATTGAACAAGATGAATACCTTGATTCCTTCACACCAGAAGCAGGGGTTCGGGTCGATATTACCAATCAGGGACAAATGCCTTTTCCATTGGAAAGAGGACTTAGCCTAGCACCAGGCTTTGCAACAGCAATCGGCCTAAGAAAGGTTTGAAGAGTCTTTTGTTATGGCTTTATTAACGTCAGCATGGCTTGGATAAGCAGCCTGCGTCGTAGAGTTAATCTCACCCTGGCTTGTAACGTTCACGCAGCGCTCAGATCCTTGTTACGCTTGGGCCCAAAACGAACTCAACAAATTCAATAGGTGCGCGCGTTTCGAATCCCCCTTTAATCTAGTTGGAGAATCGACAATGACCTTTTTGACAGGCCGATCATGAAACATGCGAACAAGGGTTTCTGGGCTGGCTTTCAGACGGACTTAACCAAAGGTTAAACGCAGGCTAGACCTGAATGTCAAGACTATGACCATGAAATCGGCATATTGATAGCGCATCTAAAACTTTCAAGTGAACGTAGTGTACCAACCATATGAATTGTTCAATAGTCAATAGGAAATCAACCAATCACAGCGCGTGCTTCAGTTTTGTTACCTGCTAAACCGAAGTGAATCGTACTGTGAAACCTGATCTTTATTTTCTTTGTTGCCTTTTTTTGCGACAGGTCATCATCCAACGAGAAGATCCTTTTAAAAACGACCGCTGTCACAAAAACACCTCTGTACATAAATCCCTTGATTTGTACAACAGAATGTTTAACGCAACATACTCGGCAACGGTGAGATATGGTCATGTCGGTGTCAGCGATTTTCCCATTTATTGTACTATAGAAGTGATGTTTCTTAGTTGGCTGGAATCATATTTGTATTTTCATTTTGTCGCGCTCATTTTCGATACATTTTTGTTTTCATTTAAAGGCTTGTAAGGAGTCTTGCCTCGCTGCAAATCAGTTTGGAATTTGTGGCTGCATGGAGTACAAATTTCCTGTTGACAAAGAACCATTGTGCGACATAACTAACAGATCTGTCAGTAAGTGCAAACAGTTATGTGCAGGGGTTATGGGCACACGGCCACACTCAAGCGTCGCGTCATTACGCAATGTCCTTATTTTCTCACAGGCTTACAATCTGTAAACGTTAGTGGCGTTTTGATTACTTGAAACCAAGAGAAATTCTACAATCATCGTCATTTGTAATTTCTCGAGGCTTAAGGAAATTTTTTCTGAGTTGACGTCGGTATTTTTCAACCAGACGGAGGCTCAAGCGCGCGGAACAGTTTCGCCTTCACTCTGCCAGTTTAATAATTTATAGCCCTGAACGATCTGTGACTATTTCAAAAAGTTGTCATGATTAAGAGACTGATGAGACAGTTGTATTTTGAAAAGATTTTAGTCTATCAGTACCATGAAGGACATTAAGTGAGACTGCACAGCTTCTATCTAGAAAACGAACAGTGACCAATTCACGTTACTTTATTGTGCGAATAATTACTTGGCTAGATTTAGGAGGCGGCCGTGCGCTAGTTCCGATCAGCGCTTAACTCGGCTGGGCAGAAAATTTGCGCATTGACGTTGTTTATCGCAATGTACGCAATAGTTGTGGCAGAATGATCACTTGATAAAGAAACTTGATTTTCCTTACAGATATCTGCCTCAACAAGGTGCAAAAATTATTTAGAGAGAGTAAACTTAACTGCAGCAGCTCTTCTTGTCCCCCACCCCGCTGGTAAGCAAATGTTTTGAGGAATCTTTTCGCTCAAAGCATTTTATTCGAGGCACTGGACGGTATCTAAATCAGTCCAGGTACAACGACTCCTTGAATATAACTAGATCGATTTCCTGTTGGTTATATGTAATTGTTCCTTAAAAAAAAAAACAAAAAAAACAATGGTCATTAATAGCAGACCAACGTCGCTTTTTTAATCAACTCGAATATACAAAATTTGTATATTTGCAATGCTGGTGCAAGGTGTCATTTTTTTTTGGCGCAATAGCATCATGCTTGGAATTAAGTAAACCGAGGACACCAATAACAGCCGTATGGTGACATTGATCTTTACAAACGCCTTGCCCATGAGGAAGTTTAGGCATCTTCACTTGCTTTTATTGGCAATTTTTCGGCCTCGGTGGATAACACCCCCCAATATCTGCTTAATTCTTCATATCCTACGAAAGCCGAATTCGTTAATTGCTTTATTATTCATTCAAAATAATTCCTAGTTTAAAAACATAGCTAAAACATGCTTACATGCATCGATGTTAAGTTCATCTTCGATAGTGTACGTTTAGGTTTGTCCAGCTCTGCAAATATTCTCATAATAGCAAATGTCGCCCTCCGAGTTGTCTTCTTGCTGTTCTTGCCATGTTTTTAGCTATTATTTTGCCTAGTTCCAGCTGTAGTTCTTACTCTTGTAACGAGTGAAATGTCCGCCATTTTTTTTATACAACCAAACAACTCAACCTCGTCCCCAGGTCTTCTCGGTAACGGTGCCTTAACCTGTAGTTAACCTGTAGCGGGCTGCATTTTTGACGACGTCATTTCCTCGTTAAACACAAGATTCTTCCAAATTTGGTCATCAGTAGCTGGTTATGGAGAATTTTTAGCCAATCAGAATTGGGGAAATATTTTGAATGAATAATAATATATATTAATTCGTCTTATATAACTTTTAGAAGTCTTAGAAATTGTAACTAGGTTTTTCCGCTCTTTGAAACTGATTGTAAATTACAATTAATAATTCCTATTGGAATATTTGAACAAACTTTTTGTGTTGTAACAGAAAAAAGTTCATGTTTTAACACTGATATTACTGCGAATTGCCTATGGTGAAAATGAGATTTGACAGAGGGGTATTGAGATATATAATTAGCTGAACTTTGGGGTTGCTCTGCGTTTTTTGGTTTCAAAATTACTGTTCTTCCCCTTTAATTTTAAGGCAGGAGGAATTCAAGATAAGTTCCTCATTTGCTGCTTGGCCGGCGGAAAACTATGAGGTACTAGTTGCTTCAATTATTTATAAAAGGATAGACACATCAGGACTGTTGAACATTACATACATTAAAAGAAATGAAGTCAGCGATAAGCAAAACATGGAAACATTTTCCTCTTTGTAGATAGGTTCCTGTTAAGTTTTCCTCCAATTTTATTACGCCTCAATTATTTTTGAGTTTGTTAAGCTTTCAAGTACTGGCAGCTTAATTGTATTGGATGTTGATTTATATGCATACCGATTTTATTTCAGTACTTCTTTCAAAATGAACTCGAAAAACGTGGGAAGTATGTGTGGTCAGACGACAAAAGCTCCATGAGGTAAAAGACATTATTTTGTTACTATTGGCAAATAAAGTATGTTATTACTCTTTATACAATGATGTGAATGCTACGCGCGTTGTGATTGGTCGTCTATCAGAGTGCAGATACATGGATGACGTCACGCGAAACTTGGTTTGTTTGTTTTGTTCAACATGGCGCGCGGTTTTGAAAATGTTTGTGAGATTATTTCGGATTAAAGCAAGTGAAATCCTCGAAAAAAGTTCAACAGAAGCTATTTACAAGAAACAAAAATAGAGAAACGGGGACAAAAAGAGGTCTTGACTACTTTAGAATGCCTAAACTACAAGAAATCGTCACAACAGCTGCCATCTTGTTTCATCGCTATGAGAGAATCGTCGTTTTGCAAAATGTTTTCGCCATTATTCCGCTTTGAGCAAGAAAAGACGTTGAGAAACGTTTCAAAGAAACTGTATATAATTAACATAAAGTAGAAAAAAAAGAAACAAACGGAGACGAAAAGTAGCGCTTGGGACTTAACAAATGCCTAAACTAGCACAAATCCTTGAACAGTCAAGCGGTACGAGGCACGCGTTTGTGTCGGTCTTTTTTCTTTTCTGATCATTGTATAAAACAAATAGAGTTCATGTTGCCGTGAGTCTGTTCAGTAATAGATCACAGAGGACGTCAAAATGTGGTAAAAACATCAGTGACACACTCCGCCTGCGGCTCGTGTGCCACTTCATTGTTTTTACCACATTTTGACGTCATCTGTGATCTATTACTGAACAGAGGCACGGCAACATGGAATCTATTTGTTAAGTAGTTTTTTTTCAATAGTATAGGTAAAGTTATTCAGTTTACGGCAATTGCACCAACCCGAGACCAGGCTCCTAGATGGGGAAAAATGGGCGGCCCAATTCCTTGGCTCAGTCTCCAGCCCTGGGTATCTTTATGTGCCCGCGATTCTTCGCACCTCACCTGGGGAGAATAGCGTGGGCATCGAGACACCCTCGACCCTCTTTCTTTTAAGGAGCCTGGTCCCCAGCTTCAAATGCACGTGCTTATAGGACAATGTTTCATAGCTTTACGAGGGTCATTAGTATGAAGTTCTCCAATCACGTTTGCATGAAAGCCAACGCGCGCGAACAAACTGAAAAGCCACCTGATTAGTTTGTATAGAGAAACGTGTTGAAGGTAAAAGTGTTCTTTGAAGACCTTAAGTTTGTAAATATCTGTGCCAATTGCTTTCCAGGAAAAACGTATTGAAGGTGCAAGTGTTTTTCGAAGAACTTAATGTAGAGTACATAGCAGAAAGGATCTCCTATGAAGTAAGTGATCGAGTTTCTTTTTTTAATTGTAATTATGATAAAGGATTGTTTGCTTTTTTAAAATATATAGAACTTTATTTTTAAAGTAAAAGGAGCCCTAGTTTAGTGATACTCGATTTAAAGCCTCCTAATCGTCATGAATAATAAATTGAGACATCTAAATCCAGAAAAAGATTTCTTAATACTAAGTAGTGCGCGCGCGTACACTTTTGGCGAGAAAACGCGATAGCTGCCGGGACGCATCAAAAAACATGGGATTGATTTGAGTCGATCCAATTTTTCTACTCTTTTAGTCTGTTCAGCTGATTTGGGTAAACTTTAAAAGGTTCGTTTCCTAACCAGATTAAATTTTATAATTCTATGTTTTAGCACAAGATTTCCACCCAGGTGGTTTGTGTAAATGATAAGCAACCAAGTTTTATTTTTATTACAGTCGCGATCGGGAGACGGCTTAACAGCCTTTTAATGAAAATAACCGTGCTGACTTTTATGTGCGGGGTGTCTATTTTTTGACGCAGCCGTCCTCGTCCTCGAATCTAAAAGTCTCTATTAAACTAGTAAATGGCCTTAAATTTCAAAATCCGGGCGCTAAAGTAGGTAGCCCTACACATAGTCCAAGTTAATAATGAAAAGAAAAGCTTATGAACTACCATTGTTTATCAATTCTCTCCCATAGCTTCCTGATTTTGCTTCAGACATCGGTGGTCAACTAGGACTATGGATTGGTTTCTCTGTGCTCACCATTGCTGAGTTCATTGAATTTGTGCTGTTGATAATTTCACTGGCAATAAGAAAGTGCTCATCACGTGGAAGTAAAGTCAAGTCAGCTTCATTAGAAATGGAAAAAGTAAACTCTCATTCAAACGAACCACTTAAATTCAAATAACTCTAGACGTCGTGGAATTCAGTGTCCCAGAGAAGTTACTGACCAAGATTGATGGGCAATGTTTCTCGTAAAGTGGGAATGAAAGGGGCCGCGGTTTAAAGGTGGCACAAACTTGGACTTCCACGGGTTTGAAAAGCGCGCTTACCGGACTTTTTTCGTTTAGCAACTAGCGCCCGGCATGCCGCTCCGGTTTTTTAAAATCCATTCACCTGTTGTGTCATTCATTCGTAGAAAAAAGGTTTTTTTTTCTAGTTTCAGTCACATCGTAAAAGGCACTTACTCGAGTTACACAGTTCTGGCTCTTGTGGTGGAATGTTATGACGTAACTCTACCCTTCCATGGGTGTTTAATTTAAAGTCAAAAGATATTTACAAGACTATGACTGGGAAGAAAATTTTTATAATTGGTAGCAAGAACTCGATCATTAGTAAGTAAGAAATAATCCAGATCACTACCATTATACCATTCGGAATCAGTTAAATCTTAGAAAGAGAGTTTAGTTAATTAACCTTCGGAGGTACAAGGGGTGGGGGTGGATGCCGGCTTTTCACTAAAGGTAAAATCGCTTCGAAATACTGCAACATATCAACATATCAAGTTCCATCCACCCCACCCTCCCCTCCCCTTGTACCATTGTGGGGGTGTGAATTTGAGTGTACGTCTGAGGGTTAACAGACTTTCATTTAAAAAAAATTACAAGAATAACAAAAATAAACAAATTATTAGGGGATAAAGTTATTTCAAAACCGATACTTCTCAGAAGGTTATAAATTTTTTCTGCAAGTTTTATTTATATTTTCTACTAATTAAATTGAATAAAGTGCATACAATCTGTTAGACGATTGTGCATGCATTGTCTTTTATTTGGGTGGAAGTGGGGAGAGTGTTCAGCTTAGCTACACAACTATGTCTTAAGTGGCAAAAAGGATTGCTTGAGTACCTAGTGCTTGTTCTTTTATTTAAGTATAGTCTTTTGTCACGAGGTAATACTTAATATTCAAAGTAATTAATATCCATTAAATATCCCGATTTAGAAGAACCAGAGAAGACAGCCTAGATTTCGTGACTTCACCAATGGTTTCCCCGCGAAACGACGTCTGAGGAAAGAGCCCAGAAATTTATTCATACAGATGACCGTGTCAATTCCCAGATATCGGAAGTTCTTCTGATTGGTTGAAGCAGATTTCCTTTGCGGTAGGACCAATCAGAAGATCTACACAGATCTGGGTAGTGAAACGTCATCAGTATGGAATTTCTGCGCTCCTTCATCGGACGTCATTACGTAGGGAAACCAGTGGGTTAGGGTCGCGAAATGTTGGCTTTTTTTTCGGGCCAAAAATAAGACAGGCAGAGGGATGAACTGAATAAGGGTCTGTGTTTTCGACTATCCTGTAAACGCCTCAACTTTTCCACCACTTGTTATTCTTTGCTTGAATTTCTTTCCCAGAGTATAGCATGTGAGAAACAGAAGCTCTAGAATTTCTACAAACGATAAAACCGACATTCCTATCCAAAAGCCCAGGGATCCGCCAAGATCAGACACAAAATTTGCCAGCTGTAAAATAGAATAAAATAATATGATAAAATAATCAATGCGTGTGACTATAGAAAGATCGTTTGTAATAACAGTTATTTATACGAAAAAAAGTTAACAGAGTTCATGTCTCCTTGAGCCTAACCACCTTACTAGCGTTAAAAAGATGAGATTTTTGACTACTTGGAACTGAAGAAGAACAAGGGGTGCTTTAACTGTGTCTCTGTCAATTCGTTTGCGGGGGGAGGGGGGTACAACTGTATCTTAAGCGGTTGTAGGTGTTTCGTGTGTAAAAGAGCAGATCGCGATGTTTTTTTGGGTGTGCAACAGTGTTTCATCTCTCTATTAAAGATGGATTTTTATATTTATTTTTTTTACTTACCGTGGATCAGAAAGAGAGGACCGAGTTTTATGGACATAGATACTATATATATATTTCTTGATTAAGTAACTCTATGAGCGTTTGTATCCGAAAATGGTATAATTAAGGCTCTTGAAGACAGACTTTAAGAGAATTCTTTAGAAATCAAAAAATAATACAGACAAAAGGGGGGGAAGGTGGTCAGGGTGACGACCCCTTCAAGTTCGCGTCTCCTCAGAATCCGCCCATGACCACTTGTAAAAAGAATAAGTATCGATTATGTAAGAAACATTTTTTCTAAAAGAAGGTTGCCGTTAGAGAAGGAATATAGGTTAGTTTGGTCTGAGCGCCAGCTCGGACAACACTTGGATTCTCTCTCTCCAGTCACATTGGTTTAACATTGCCATTCTGAGTTCTCCGATAGTGTCGAAACCGGTGTCTTCAAGCAAAAGGTGTACGTACGTGGTCTTAGGTCTTCCTCTCTTAGTTTGTCCGTGTTGTGGCTGCCACAACAAAAGCTTCGATGCCTCCTCCTCTTCGCCGTGTCTATCACAATGCCCAGCTACTCTCATTCTTGTTTCCCTGATCTTGCTACAAACTTTTGGGAAGTGACCGTACGGATTTTCACTTGTAATGTGGTCCAAGAAATGTTTAGTGCTGTGCGAAGTATTCTAGTATATCATAAGGTACCATCAATTTGCTTTTCCGTATGGTTAGAGTCCATGTTTCGCTGCCTTAAAGGAAAACACTTTCTACTGTGCCAGGAATAGTCTAACCTTTAATTCCCTGCACAGGCTAGATTTCCAAATTTTGCCCAACTTATTGCACGCTACCGAGGCTTAAACTTTTCTGTTTTCTTTCTTAAACTTTTAACCCTCTTTAGTGGCATGTTTATCTCAGGAATTAAAAGTACTTGTAAAAAAATTTTTAGTACCTTATACGATGGTTCCTCTGAAATAACTTCGTAATTGAGCTCTTCAAAAAATATGTTCAACTTTAGTACATTGTCTCTGTGAGAAACAAAAAAATGATGTAGGTGTTTCAAATCTGCAGAAAATCAACTTTACTTTGTGTTACTTCAGATCCCCTTCCTATATATATTGTATAAAGTTACCTGAAATCGTCACTACCATCTACTTCCTTCTTCCTCTCCTTTAGTGCTATCTTGTAAATATCCTGGCATGTAAATTTAGAACAGAAATATAAGCTCAACCGCTACATTAGATCATGTTTCTCAACATTGCGTTAACATCGTTTTTTTAGATTAACACCTTAGTCACGGACACCATCTGACATCATCGTCACGATTCTTCATTACATTAAATCACACAATAAATATGCAATCATAATGATAATCAAAATCAAAAATAGCAGTAAGCATATGTTCGCTATAGACTAGCTAGGACATTTCCCCTTATAGAAAATTCTTTGAACAATGTATACTAACCTCATAACTTTTAGTAGGCCAAATGGAATAGGATGTGGTCAGTTTAAAAGTGCTTTCACTGTGAGTGAAACAATAAAAAAATGAGACAGTCAGTAACTGCATAACACCCTTGGACGAAAGTTAGGACTCGGGAGCTGATGTCACCATGGCCATCTTCGTAATGTTAACGTTGTTCTCGAATTTTTCCTTTCAACGGCTGATCACTTGCTTCTTTTGCTGACAGTCGAGTACTATGGGTATGAGATCTAACGTCGTAATGACTCGCGTATGAGGTCAATACAGGCGGCGAGGTTTTGCGGTCCCCTTGAACATAACATAGATTGCAAGAGACGGACACGGTGGCAAACATTTTCAATGATGTCACAGCTCCTCAGCATCTCCAAATCCTATGACTTGACGTCCGTTATTAGTTCTGTATTCAAGAATGAATGGCGCATCATGTTTCTAACTTTTGATCCTGATGATGGAATCCTACGGTGTTATGGGCAGTCCTTTCATGGTACTAATTTTTTTACGTCTTCTTTTTGTCTAATTCTGATTTTAATTAATGAGTGTTAATTTGTAGACTCGTCACAAGCTACATCTCAGCCATCTCTTGTAACATTATGGCGAGGGTATAAATACGCTTGACATGTGTGGTCCGAGAGCTAAGCGGATTAAGTTAGAGCCAATAAATTCATATTCCTCTGTATTGTTCATTTTGCCACCTTGGTCAGGTCATTCTATCCAGGGGCATAGAAAAAGTTAAGATTATTTGCAATGCTAAATTACCTGCAGGGTGGCGGACATGATCCAGAGCAGTTCAAGTTGTTGTCTGTAAAATCTGTCTGAACTTTACTGACACATCTTGCTGTCAAAATAAAATTCCCTGCTCATCAAAATTAAAGGGTACGGACGCAGGGCTTATTTTATAAATTGGGTGATCATAAGTTTTCGTCCAGAGGTGTACACAAGTGTAGCCCTAAATCACAAATTAATAGTCCATATTGTTGGTAACAGTGAGTGACCCGGGCGTTTCCAGGTACGTAAACGTTAACAATGCGGAAGTCATCACTGGAGTCGACAAGTCACCGGTAGTCCTATTAAGGACTACACGGCCGGGATCCTGAAACGCCGATTAAAGCTCTATCGAGGAAAATTTAATGCACGGCTGATTTACTTAGCATAGATTGTCCTTTAAGACTTCAGTTGCATGTTCCGAACTCGGCGGGTTTACCATTTTGGACTACATTCTCGATCAGTTACCATCTTCCATGTCTGGAAGCTTATAGGTGGTAAGGGTCTTAAACAAAACCATGAAAAATAACATCAATTTCATATCTATTGAAAAAGATCATCAGGAACGGGCTTCATATAGTAATATAACAGACTGAAAATCTTACCTTCTGTCTTGTTGAGTACGTCACACACCTTTGTACCTGGGGGTCTTGGGAACCTGTAATGCATACACCCACACTTTTGCAGCTGGTTGTAGGCCAGGCAAGATCCTTTGCATGCCTTAAGCCAAAAAAATAAATACTTTACTTGCTTACAAAAATATGTAGGTTTTTTTTCGTGTGTTTTTCGTTTGTGGCCATCATGAAGTAACAGACAGAGTAGGGTGAAAGCAAAACAGAGGTCAAACGAGAAAACCGTGGGGGAGGGGTGAGAACAAAAGGCATAAGTCAGAGAGCCGCCTACTATCCAGGCTATAAAATATGCGAACAGCAATTTCCCATAATACAATGAGAAATTTCAGACAAGCTGGGATTGCGTACAACTAATGGTGTTATGATGGTGTTAATGTGTTATGTTAGCAGTTGTTATCCTTGAAGTTGTATTTTCCTGTCCTTAGCGAAGCTCCGTAACCCAGTAGCTAAGACAATTTGATAATCTATCCATCCGAGAAAGTTTGGCAGTCACGTGACCATAAGTCCGTCCGCCCGCCCGTCTGTCCACACCGTAAGGGAGCTAATGTAAAATGTCACACGCTGTCAAAAAATGGTATCTGCTGACCTGTATCACATGGCCAAATCGCGGGGTCAGGGTCGATCCATCGAGGTTACGCGTTTTTTTGAAGTTCTATGCTCATGACAAGTTACTAGTTCTAAACTGATTGCGGGCTCAACTCCAAGTGGATTTTTTTGCAATGGGTTCAACTTTATTACTTAAATTAAATTATAAATTCATTAACGGGAACCAGCTTTGAACGCAGCCTAGTCTCCAGGGCTTCTCGGTTGCCGTCCCTTTTCTGTCGATATCCTGGTTTTGACGTAATTTAACCGAATATCGCAAACACCTTCCAATGGTCAACGCTATGGTTATAAAAGGTAAGTCGAGGGATTTGAGCCAATCAGAAATGGAGACATTGTATTATAACAAGTTAAAACTCTTTTTAATTTGAATGTTTTAAAAGTGTAGTTCACCTAACTTACTAGAGAAGAATAGTTAACTTGCAGTGGCTTTTTGTATATGTTTGCGTTATCCAGTGAGGAATTTTCCATGCACCGATTTCTTGACAGTGGATCCATTCTTTTAATAACAACCTGCCGTATTCAAAAGCAAATTTAAACTTAAGTGGTCGGTTATTTAAACGAAGTCTCACTAAGGCCACGGTTTTAGAAATCTTATTAAAAAAGAGACCTTAAGATCTCTTCCTTGGAGGGTTAGTCCACGCTTTATGATTTCATGAAACTGTTAACGATAATATGATGTTGTTTAGACAAAAGCGTTTAGCAGACTGAAAATGACTAATAACATGAACTGGTGGTTTAGACACTGGCTAATCTCGCTTAAAATAACCGACCATAGTAGTAAACCAGGAACCAATAACCCTGTCGTTAAATTCATCCAATATAGAGTGTGATAGAAAGAAAACTTATGCACATCAAATTGTAAGCTTCACTGAACGAGTTTGATCAAACGTAGCCATACCAAAGCTTTCGGTTTATCTTCATTAGAGAGAGGAGAGGTTTTAAACTGGTTATGTCACGAGGATATTGCAGTTTTAGATCAATTATGTGCTGTAGTTATTACTAAGTGCCTTAACCCGTACAAAAATCAAACATATTTCATCAGGGATGAGAGCACTAAAAATTATTCACAACTTTTTTTTCGGTTACAGTCGCAGGCATAGCATCAAAACTTGAAAAAGTTGGCCAAACTTTTTCAAGTTCTAATCAATGTCCATCCTTGACATCTGTTGCAACAGACGACAGGAAACAGTTTCAATGCCTAAATATTGTCTTAAATAACAAATCAAACTGGACCATTCAATAGTTGCGACGGTGCCAGGGTTTTTGATGGAGTTTTTTAAGGTGTCTCTGACTTTTGAGTCTGTCAGTGGACAAAATCCTATGATGTGACCATTTAAATGAAAGCTCTCTACCTTTACTTACACATGGTGCTATTTGTTTTTCAAAATTTTAATAAAACGAATATGACATAGCTGTCATAGTCCCTTTTAAGCAAACCTTTCGCAGTCCTATCGATGTCGCATATCCTGGTGCAATACTTAATCCCTTTTCGAAAGGAAATGGCATTTCTCCCTGATTTGAGATGTCAACTCTAACTCCAGCTTCCTCTGTTATCCCTCCAATATATTGCCCCCGCTCAATATTCAGCTCAAGACTTAACCCTAAAAAGAAACAAAATTAAAAACTGACTTCAGGGGCGCTGCTACGTTTTTTCAAAAGGGAAGGGGGAAAGCGAAGGGGGGCGGGGGGGGGGGGATGGGGGGGGGGGGGGGGGGGGGGGGGGGGGGGGGGGGGGGAGCGATTGGAAAAGCTGGATCACTCGCTCTCTGTGCGCTTCCAATCGACGGTCGAGATCGAGATCGTGAGTATATTAATAGGACAGAGAGGGAATCTTAGGGAGAAGAATATTGTGATGGCGACTGTTGAATTTACTCTTGACAGCTCTGAAAACAAGTTTGTCTAAAAATAACTTTGGTGAAATTCACATCAGTCCCCAAGGCTTGACTGGGCGTTTTTTTCTCTGTGCCATTATAATACTTTATTCTCTCTTGTCGATATTTATTAGAAGGCCGAAAACTCGTCATTCAAAGACGGTGAATTTTAGGATTTTAGCGTGGACTTTGGTTTGTAAAATGATATTCTAGCGTTTTGACGAAAAAGGGAGATGGGTGCCTCCAAAATAGGTTAAAGTTCACGAGCATTCCAGGTCTCACTATTAGTTTCGCCCAATGCCAGAAGGAAATCAATAGAAATCGAAGTTACAGAAAAAATTATTTATCGATTATTATCAATTACCAAAATCTATAACAATCGATAGGAATCGATAGTCATCGATAAAAAATCATTATCGATCTCCAAAGAAAAATCATCGGTATTAATCGAAGTCACAACTTTTTTTCTTTATCGATTTCGATCGATTGATATCGGAAATCGGTATCAATCGTCGATTAATTAACACTTATTCCTAGAGCCCGAATTCGGCCTCATGGGCTATTGACTCAGAGATCAAGAGGGCGAGAGGAATAATTGTTTTAGTAAAATCCAACTAGTCGGTCAAAAATATCATGACAAAACAACTTTAGCTAGTTAAAGCTAGACTTTAATCCTTTTTTGCCGCCAAAAAGCCTGCGCTTTTTGCTACTAGTGTGCTATAACATATAGCCTAGTAGTAGCTCAACCAACCAGAACGCAGCATTGATAATAGACCACTAGTTGGATTTTACTAAGATTGATTACTATCGATTGATATCGATTATCGGCTTATCGATTAACTACGTTTGGCCGATGACAAGTGAAAACTTTTGTAACGTCTTCTTCTACATCCAGATCTAAGGAATAACTTAGAGACAAACTTGAGTAATAAAAGTTCCCCAGTACCCTTCTGATACTTCTGACGGGCCGTCTATTTCATCGAATTTTTTATACAGTCCAACCTCTATGCGCGACCACCCCCTTGTAAGCGACTACCTACCATAAGCAACCACCTATCCAAAACATTAAAGTTTTCCCACTCAAAGTCCTATACTGTCGTAATTGTTAAAATTTCTAAAATTAGCATGATAACTCATATTTACCATGTAACGGACCAGGCTGGTTTGATTTAAATATCTTGGCATTTCTTGCTGTTTCCGATTTTCCTCCGTTGAATACAAAGCAGTTTCCGTAAGCGTAATGCCAGAAACGGCTCCAGAACGAACTCGAGTAATTCCTTGAAAGAGAGCATTAATAGACTTATGGGCAAGGCTAATTTTTTGTAATATGCATGTACTTTCAATTAAAGAATTTTTACGTTATACTTTCGCACTTTAAATGTTAATTAATGATGCTGGAAGTAGAAATGACTTGTTTTCAAACAGGCAACGCTAAAACGAGCGACTGAACTCGAGGTGTGGCGATCGGGTCACTTACCCGCAAAACACGCCTTTAAATGTGCAATGGACAACGAAGTCTTCAAACTGATGACCCACGCCCATTAAATCGTGAACTTTATGTTTGGAAATTTCCATGCGCAAGAATTCCCTGTTAAGGTATTCTTTCTCTAAAGTTCCTGGGTCACCGTTTTCATCTTCATCTTCCTCATCCCCATCTTTGTTCGATGTTACTTTAACTTCTTTTTCCTCCTGTTTTTCTTTCTCTTCTTTCTCTTCATTTTCATCGTCCTCCTCAGCTCCTGAAATTAATTATATTGTAAGTGTATTCTATACCCTTGTTAATTAACAATTAATGAATGAGGCTGAGTATCTTATGAAGAATTATTGAGATCTCGGAGGGTGTTATCCGCCTCAGCCTATGGCCTCGACGGATAACATACTCGATCTCAATAATTCTTCATAAGATACTCAGCCTCGACTCATTCATTAATTGTTAAATGAGATAACTAGGGTTTGAGATATGCGTCGAATGAAACAGAATTTGAAAGAAAATAGTTCATTCCCCCTTCAGCTCGAGAGATCAATTTTATTGAAAAAAAAAAAGTTGTTCTTAAGCTTTCAGGAATAATTAATTAACGAGCGAAAAATTTAAAAACTGCTACAATTTAAAGGTCTTTTGACAGGTAATTGAAGCGGACAACGTCAGAAACTTACTAACTTTTCATTATGTTCTGATTCACCGCTGTTGAAATTGTTCTTCAATAAAAGTTTAGCTTTTATAAATAACCGTCGGCCGGTTGACTCAATTGGAAGAGTGCCGGCCGGTCTACCAAGCGGGAGGAGTACCATGCGCGCGTAGGGATGAGGGGGCATTTATTTTTTGGAGGGGGAGGGGGGGGTTGCAAGGATTGGGATTGGTCTTACATCTGATATGATTGGCTAGGAAAATGTCTCGTGGTTAGTGAACCAATCCGTCAGCTCAAAACAAATAAAAGCAATTGTGACAACGTCAGTTAACAAAAACAGCTCAAGTATGAAATAATGATCTAAATTAAGCCGGTCTACTAACCACTCTCTAGTATGTTCCTCAGTGATTCTGGCAAGTATTCTTGTACGTCGTCTTTTCTCAAGGGATTCATATCACATATTGTTATGGAAGGAAAGTTGAGACTCTGAGAGAATTAAAACGGATATGGACAAATTATTTTTTTTCAATGCGATCCAATGGCAACTGTAAAAGAATCGGGAAAATTTTTGCTCGTGAAATCCGGAATCCCGAAAATTTTTCTTGTGGAATCTGGAATCCGGGAATTTTTCTTGTGGAATCCGAAATCCTGGGCTTTGGAGTCCGGAATAAAGCTCAACTAATCCGGACCTTAGTAATGATTGGAATCCGTAATCCGCTGAAGTTCGATTGACAAAAAATCCGGAATCCAGAATCCAAGACTGTCTTAGATTATCTTACATGGGGCGATACCATAATATCCCAGCATGACTTTTCTTATTTTTTAATTTTATTTTTATTTTCAGGCCATATACCTGAGGCTGCATTTGCAAAACAATGAGTTGTATTGAGTACTTCATTTCTTGATGTTATGAAGCACAGCAATTTGCGGTGCCTAATACCTTGAATTAAGCTACAACAAATTTGCACTTGATTAACGGTTATAAAAATCGGAACGGCTTGAACACTTCATTAATAATCATGAATGTAATGTAAAGCTTTTAAAACTTTGTTTGTTTTTGCTTGTGTGAGTGTGTGTGTGTGTTTGTTTTTTCTTCCGAATTCTTGCATCAGAAATTCGCCCACATCATGTTGTCTTAATCAAATTGACCATCAAAGTAATGCATGACTGAAAAACTCGTACCATTTTTATCATGTAACCGACTAAGCCCTTTGCTGCTTAAGTTAAAGGAAAAATTAAAAAAAAAGGCGATTCATTACCGTGTCATGTTCTATAGCCACTCGAGTAGCAAGAGGACGTTCTCTGTACATCTGATAGAGATTTGGAATCTGCATCGTCAAAAATACCAGCGTTCCCAAAATCAGTAAACCCCAGCATAACTTTCTGATCCAGTGGCCAGAGGCTACAGTTCTTCCTGCACCGTGTACTGTAGTATACCCTAAGAAATCGTAAAAAAGAAGAGATATAGAAGGTCTATCATCTGCTTTCTCCTTTTCCATCCTGAAAATCAGTAGTCAATCCCAGTGAGAGATTCCTTGGTGTATTTTAATCTATGTTGAGGCGAGTAGTGCTTCAAGTTCAGTTACCATACACACTATACAGTTTGATATCTTGTTGTTCACACGCTTATAAATAACACAAGATTTCCTGCGCTTTCTTAATTGTTTCTTAATTACCTATGAATTAAATAGCAGGGGTGGCTATAATGTTGTCATACGCTTTTTTCTTTAATTTGTGAATGTAAGTCCCTACCCATCGGCAATCATGTCCGGCCTGAACATTGACGCAAAAAAAAAAAAAAAGATAGAAAGAAAAGAAAAGAAAAAATTTTACTTCAGGTCCATCGACCATACTACGTAACGATTCACTGAATATAAGAAGGCTAAAATTTAGTTAGGCAAATGACACTCTAAAGAAGGTTAAAGAAGGTTTAGAGCATCTGCGACGCAGGCAAATGACACTCCATTACCCTACTGCACTAATTTCCTGTGCTTATATAATTCATTAACTTTGGACATTTGGAGACAGATTGTGATTGGACACAGAAGTACTTGTTGTCAAAAAACATTAACTGCACTGGGGTGACTACAAATGTTATTGCTTTGCTTAGCTTTCAATGCAGTAATAATTCCTACCGGAGCAATCGGCTTAAAATTTCCAGTTGAGATAGGGTCAATTACAAAAATCCTAGGGCATTGAAAACATCAACTTTTCAGCAATCCTTTTTTTCTTCATTCTTTTTCTCCAGAGAACGTTACGCCAACATGGCCATATCACGTAACAAATATCGGATAAAGCCGTTTTTATGAGTACGAGCCTTTCGACATTCACAAAAGACTTCATCCATTTTGATATCAAATCGTCAAGAACTGGGCTGCTCAAAAAAAGCAATCCACGGTAAGCGACATGTTCTTTATGTTGAGCTACAACCAAATCCGAATTACAATACCATGCGCAAGAGTATTTTAGACACAAATGCCTCTCACAGGCTAGTGAATTAAGTTTTACATATTTCGATCACGATTTAATGGAAAAATGATCTGCCGTGAATCGGCAGAAAGGGTCATTAAAGGTTGTTACTGCAAACGGCTAACCTCGGCAATACTACTACCTTCCTTGAAACTAAACGCAATCTTCCCTTAATCAAGAACGCAAATTTAATTGTTTAGTCGGCGGGAGGAAGATTAGAACTTACAGATACAAATGGTGAGAAATTTAACGTCCACTGCAGATACATGAAAATAGTGCACATGGTTTTTGTCTTTACTTTTTATTATTACTATTATTATTATTATTATTATTATTATTATTATTATTATTAATATTATCATTGTCAGTTCGCGCGTTTTTCTTGGTCGTCCTACAGATTCATTCCCTGGTACCAGGTGACCTCCCGTCAACTTAGGTATCCATCACCTTTCTTATGATTCTTGCTGTTCCCAATAAACAAGCTTTTTGTAATGGCAGAATACCACCGTCGAGCCCTGCTTTCTTTAGATACAGTTGGAATCTTTTACTGACTGTTCCGAGTACTGCATGACGATCGGCGTAGGCACAACTTCTTTACAATTCCACAGACGCTTCAGCCCTCTTGTCCAGTCTTGACATTTTTCGATTTTTTCCTGTTCTTTAAGACTCGATGGTCAAATGGGCTAGCAATATCTATTTTTGTGCAGCTCCTTTCCTTCTTGTCTACAATTACTATGTCTGGTCCGTTGACTGCTCAATTTTGTGGTCAGTTTGAATAGGAAAATCCCATTTAGAGTAATTTGCATTCTTCTGATTCCTCCACCGGCTTTGGCTCGTGACCATGCCAGTTTCGGGAGCAATCAAAACCAAACTTTTGACAAAGTCTCCAGTGAACACATTTACCAACCTGATCTTATCTCCAGCCTTCGTTTTCTTTCGGAGCCAATTTCTTGCACTCTGTCACAATGTGACTAATGGCTTCTTCCCGTTCTCCCCACATCCTACGTAATGGCGATATATCCTCTCCTTCAATTCTCTTTCTTATACTAGTTGTTTTGCCTGATAATCACCGGTCCTTCTCCTTTCTATATTTTCCTTCAAGGTTTCTTCAGATGACTCTTTTAGCACACCCTGCCGTTTAACAGCTTCAAGCAGAATCTCATTGCTTTGCTGGATGTACTTTGCAAGAGTTTCACATTCCAGTTCAACACAATCTTCCAGACTTATTAAACCTCCCAAGCTTTCCGCCCTTTTCATATATAACGTATCTACATTGCTTTGGGCCAGTGCATCACATTTTGGGTTGTCAGCAACTTCCTAGTCTTTCTATCCATGTTTCTCAGTTCCCCCTTAGTCCAGTTAATAATATCCCTGCTCCATAACGGATGATGGAGACCGCTTTTGAGTTAATAACCCTCATAATATTTCTCCCTGATAATCTGGATTTCAGGATACTTCGCACCCTTCTGAAGTATTCAGTCTGAATATTCCCCTTTATTACTTCATGCTTTATTTCATCTTCTGCCAGAACCTTATTATTATTATTATTATTATTATTATTATTATTATTATTATCATTATTATTATTGCTAATACTCTCAGATAAAGGTGTTGGCTCCGGGCAACAATGCAACCAGTTGCTTAAGGGAGCCAAGAAGTGTCCTTCAGTTTACTTTTGCGCCTTGGTCTACATCACTAACACTTTCCTAAGGATCCTTGCTGACCCCAAAAGGGCACATTCCTGAATCAGTTCAATGGATGTGTCGACACCCATGGTCCTCAGATGTTCTTTTAACCTCAGTAGTATTGTCCCCAAGGCCCTCATCACTATGCATGGGCAGAAATTGAGGACAGTATGGCCGCTAAGCATGCGCATTACGGATGGCCTTTAAAAATGTCTGACTCTAATAAGGATTTGTATGGCGAGAGAGAAATTCTTAAGAATTACATTGAACTGAAAAGGAATTTCATACCTTCATATACTTTGTGCAAAGTTTTGAGGTCCTTACTCATTTCCTCTAGGTTCCTCGCGCGGCAAATTACGCCAGCGCCATACAACAGTCATATTGATCTCGCCATACAAACACTGTATATCAGCTAAAATTACCAATATTTAAGCGATTGTACGCGAAGAGAAAGGTGCAGCCCAAAACCTGCGAACGTCGCGGTACAAACTTGGGCCTATTATCTTTCATTTTAAACCATTCATTGTGTCCCCAATTAGCGTCAGCTAAATACATCGACACATGAATAAAGTTTATCATCATCATCATCATCACCAATTCTACGGCAGAATGTTGCATCCAAAAAGGTTCCTCGAGAAGTTAAAGATATTGATAAATTTACGAGCCAATGGCGCCCGAAATTGCCGAAGAAATGAACAGTTTTTGTCGCTTTTGCAGCACAAAACAAGAGTCCCCCATTTTTGAACATCAAGGTCGGAAAAGCTTACATGGAATATATTATTATACGTGGAAAAACCGCTGTTTTGGATAGATAGCAGCCTCCGATTCTATTTTTTATCTGGTATGGTGTGATGTCCGTGACAACCCGTGACAACAAGCGTGACTAGAATATATGGGCATTGCGCAACACTTTTTTTGACGAAAGAAAGCTTTTGGTGCTTTTACATTGCCTTTAAAGATAAAATATATACTTTAAAACTTGATTCTTTACTTTTAACAACAATTTTGTCATTTCTGTACCAATATTTTGAAAGAAATGTAAAACAGGCATGAGCCTGCCAATTGACCGCTGGCTGTCTCTGATTTCTGCCCATGGGGTATCACCTTTGTCCTTACGCCCCACATCTTTCGGATTTCTCTCGCGAGAGCTTGATATTTTTCTACTTTCTCGTCCTCTTTTGCTCTCACCCCTCCATCATACGGAATTGCCACGTCACTCAATCATTTGGCAGTTGTTCTCTCTTTTGTCAATGATCAATAGATCCAATCTCCTAAAATGCCACATTATTATTATTATTATTATTTAGTTCTCACTGCCAAGTACTCCGAGAAGCAACCAGTTTCCTTGGGAGTGGCTGCGCCTACTAGGCTGATCTTTTGGAGTTCCTCGATATTGATGTTTCCAGAGATTTTTTTCACGTATTTTCCCAGGCCCTATTTTACTAGGCTAAGCGCTCCAATAATAAAACGCACAGTTTCTGCTTTTGGTGAAATAAAAAGAGTCTGATTCGATTCCCCTTTAACAAGCTAACATGCTTACCTCCTGACCATTTGATGCTTAGTTCATTTTTCATAATGCATGTTTATTCACAAGTTTAGGAGATATAGAGTTGTTCAGTTCTGCAAATATTCTCCAAATAGCAGATGTCGTCCGTTGTGTTGTCTTCTTGCTGTTCTTGCTATGTTTTTAGCTAACAGTTCGCCTAATCAGTCTTTCTCGTGAAACGACTGAAACGAACGAAATAATCCACCATTTTGTATTCAGCCTTGTCCCCAGGTCTTCTCTGTTAACGGTTCAAAAATCTGGCAATTTGCTGCACTTCTGTGACATCATCAGTTCACATATCGCAAAGTTCTTCCAAATTTGGTGGACAGTAGCTGGTTATGATGATTTATGCCTGGGATTTTAGTCAATTAAAATAAAGAACATATATCTACAGTAGAATCCTGATTTTACAAACCAACAATAAGTACGACGTTCAAGGTGAAAGAAAGTATATAAAGAGAAAGAAAAAACAAAATGACAGAAAAAAAATAAATAGATAAAACCGGGTACTGACAGCTGGAAATACTGAACAAGTACGATACTAAATTTAACTATCTATATAAGGAAGGAGAACACTTTAACTGAATAAGGAGCCGGAGTTAGGTGGGCTGGAACTGCTAATGGCTCTCATATCAACGTACAATTCCTCAGTCTCTAGCCTGCGAGCAAGCTCTCCTATTTGGGCAAGCGAAGCGAGCCTCGCGAGAACGCGCGAGCGAGGGGCCCAGGACTCGCGCGTTCTCGCGAGACTCGTTTCACTCGCCCAAATAGGAGAGCTTGCTCGTAGGCTACTCAGTCTCCAAAACCTTGATAAGTAATTTATGTAATTTACGCTTGAAAGGGTCTTTGTGCTGTCCACGTAACGCAAGAGGAATTTTGTTCCAAATTCTTACACCACTTCTAGAGAAAGATACTAATAGCTGACTGAGTCTAGATCTCAGGACATGAAAATTAACTGAGCAGAAAATCTGGTATAATAAGAGTGAAGAGCCCACGATTATTGGAGATATCGTGCATTAGGATAGCCCAATATTTAGGTACAGGAAAATGCAAATTTATCGGGAGGTTTTTTAAAAATCGGAGGTAAGATTACAGAATTTGGTTTCGGAAATTACTAGAAACGAAGGGTTCGAGAAATTGGGATTCTCCTGTCAGTAGCTACTGCACTTTTAGGCCGGCTGCGACATTTTAACTGTGCCATTTCTATATTTATATGGTTTCACTTCGCTTCGATACAAAAACCCTGCCAAAAGACACTCTGCATTCCTACCAAAAGTACTTATGCGGCTGTTCATTCGTACTGCAGAAGACTGAATACCCCGCTCGCCCGGTTCTGGACGCGAAGATGGTGTTTTCTAACCTACCTACGCCCCCACCGAATTACCGCCATGTCCCTGGTTGGGGGTTGGAAACCCATACCAATTAGTTTCAAACTGCTTTACAACCAAGACAGTCTTACTTAAGTTTTTTATTGGTGTCATGATACCTACAAAGCTTGACTGTACCTTTGGGACTCAATTTCAACGGTCTCGAATTAATCTCGTATCCAGATCTCACTCTGTCTTACGCTGAGGGTACGAGATTAGTCTCGAATTTGCCCCCAAAACAGTTGTCACGTTTGTCTTGGACAATTTAATAACGTTACTCAAATAAGCGCACACAAAATGACTTGCCCTTGCAGAGGTCCCTATTTTCTTCAGCTCATATGACCCGTCAAGTTTCCTAGCCCTCACGAATTTGTGTATTTTGCTACTGACAGTTAGCGTGAATTGATCCGGATAAAATTGTGTCCATTTTTTAATCTGCCACTTCATGAAAGAGTGTAATTAACTGCTCCACTGTCTACAGTAATAGGCCTAATAAATATACGAAAGCCAGGTAGATAGAAAGAAATAGATAACAATTTTTAAGAGTCAAAACATTTTAGTGTTAGCGGTTTCCACTAAGTGAAGGACACTAAAGAACACAAGGTAAATACTTAAGCCCAGCCATTCAAGTTCAAAATGAAATAGGTGCATGGGAATCATAAGACAGGCAGATTTTAATTCAGTGGGTGTCTGCCTAATGATCATAAACATCGTAACATTTCGTGAAGATAATTGAAATGTTATTCCTAGTATAAGTGGTTATGGCGTAGCTCAGCATAATTCTTCAATAACTTCTTTTAACTCTCTGCCCTTTTATTGGTAAAATAAGTATATTTGACTGACCCCCTAATTTCAATAACGGTTTATCTTTTTAGTAAATTATTGAACTGTTATGCCTATACATCTTATAATAAAAATAACTTCTCTTGAAAGGTAGTACATCACAAAAGTGATCAATTGCACATCCATAATTCGCACCTACGACCTGACAACATTGAAGCATAGAAAATTATTCTAATATCAGTGTTTCACTAAATGAGTGGCCCTTTCCTGCTTGACGCTGTAGGTTTGTGTATGTAATGTGTTAGTCTGAATTTTGCTGGGTCCCGCATGTTGCAAAAATCGTTTTTTCTATCTTTGTATAATGTGAATATTACCATCTGCTCCAACGGATTAGACGACATCTGCATGATTCCATTAGAGGGTCGGAGGGGCCAAACAAAAACCATGGAACCGAAATCAACATTAGCTAAGAGAAAGTAACTGATATATAATAATAAAAAATATTCACAACTGCATTCCATTATTATTTACTGGTGAGAGAATTACGGGCTTCTTTTTCAATTTGCCGGATTTACCGCCTTGCTAAATTGTTCCTATTCAGTGGCAATCAAAAAACCAATCGAAAACCGCGGAAAATACGAAGAACTATATAGAAGCCCGAAAGACATGCCTTATATTTCATAAGTCAAGATTAAAAAACAAACGATCACAAAAAAAGCCTAAAACCGCAAATTTCAAAAGAAAGATTGCATGCCCAGTGTTCAGTATGCAGGGAAGACGATCCTCCCGATGTGAATTAATTGCTTTTTTTGTTAGCCTCAGTTTTAAACGTGTTAATAATGAATGGTTCGTAAGTCAATGTATTTCGCGCCTAATATAAGGACCGGGCAGGTTTAATTTGAATATGAATCAATCTTTATGGGCCATTTAGACTATTGTAAGGGCAAGAATGAATAGTTAGTTTTTTCAGTGAGAAGTTATTGAGTTTATTATCATCAGTTGAAAGCACATATTTAAATAATTAATGTATATTGGAACTTTAATGAACCGTAACACTTCACGTTAATGCGTCTTTCATTTGCCTTCTAAGAAAACCAGCGGGTACTCGAGACTCAGTTCAAGTTCATCATCAAGTAAATTTGTGGAAAGTGCGTGCCTCACAAGAAATGAAGTACTTAAGTTTGAACTGACATACGTTTATGGCCTCAGTCCATGCACGCAGGAGTTTAATTCCCACAGCTCTTTGGTAGAGCATCTCAAAGTGTAACTGGACGGTCATAGGTTCGACTGCTGTGGCGAGAAAGCGATTTTTTTCCGAGTCAGCTGTGTCAGGGACTGAAAAAAACATTATTCTCAACATAGTATATGAAGCACCCGCCTAGCTTCAGCCCGTGACAGATTCACAGGACTCCCTAGTTTGTCGCATCGCAGGTGCTGTTTACTAGCTTCTTAGTAGATCGGGTTAGCCTCTACATTTACCCTCAACTAACCACTAGTTTAAACATTTAACTTAACATTTTTATCTAAACTGTAGACATATTAATCTTCAGATCATCGGAGACTAAAACGCACATCTCGCTGATCAATCAAGTTGACCAAAAGACAAACCTAACCGGTCGGCGAGATTAAAAACTATAATTGAAAAAATCATAAATTGAATTTTACCAAATTGAAAGCCAGCGATGCACAATCAAACGCTTTTAATGCAGACACCAAACCGTGGACGGAGCGTTCGTGTCCAGCGCAACACAAAGTTGTCCATATTTCGCGCTGAAGGGAATCCAAGACAGTCTTGGATTCTGGATTCCACCCCGTAGATTCCAGTTTCCAAGTCGTATAAAGTTCACTATGCTTGGAGACGGCCAATCCAAAATAATGTCTCTCATAGAGAGCGTTAGAAGGGATTCGACTATGCTGGAGTAAAATTAATCTGAATGGTGTACACACCCAAACATGCCTACAAATAGACTTGGATCAGTATGAAAAAAGACAAGTGACTCGCACTTATAGGAATATACTTAGGAAAATACTTTACACTGGAATTTTCATGTCCACTTAAATTGCATTTGAATTGCACTTGAGACTAACTTTTGTGTGAACGGGTCCTTTTTCACTTGATTGATCTTGACTATTTGTACTTAGTTGCCACAAAACTTCAAAACCTCAAAGTGGCGAAGTGCGCTATCAAGTAAGGTCCAAACCTTCCTTGAGACTGCACTCAATCCAATCAAAGCGACTCGGATGTTTATTATCAAAGTGTCAATCATCTCGAGCCACAAGCGCAAGCGCCGAGCAGGCGGGAACAGTGATTGATGAACGAGGATAAGAATCTCCACGAAATGTAGGTAGGTTTTTCTCAGTTCTGAATCATGAGCTAGTGCAGAAATTTCACGATTTCCTTTTTTCACTGTATTTGACAGCGGAAACAAGTGAACGTTAATGCATTAGACTTTGCTATGGAAGCGAAATGACCTATGTTCCACAACCGAGCGATTTCCCTGTTGCGCAATTCGTTGAATGCAGTTTATTCTTTTCGTCAACTCGTTCAAGCCACTTTTTCGTGTCCACCTGCAGCAATAAGCATCCATAATTGCAAGATAAGTCAACCTCACGTCTCATGGAAGAAACAGCGAGCCAACGGCTACATTTACTCAAAGAAATTCAAGCGACCCAGAAAAGTGCATAAGAAACGGAAGGAACAGAACAGCTCTAGCGTGAGAGTGGGGACCACAGTAAGAACAATTTTAAAGCGCTCATCGACTGAAAAGAGTGAGGGATATGGAGTGACATTTACGACTAGTATAAAGAACGGTTTGTTGAAAGCGTTAGAACGTCAGCCGATAGAAAGAATACATAGTATGCAATACGATTTTCAATACTTGAAGCAACGAGCTCAAAATACTGGCAAGGAGAGCTATTAGAATATCAAAGAAGGTTTCCCATGCATACTTCGATTGCTTCGATGAAACCATGGGAATGCCCCATTGTTATCCTCACTGTTCAAGAAAACTGTTGTCAATAAAGGGAAAATCACGCTTTGCTATAGTTCTACGGCTTTTGTCTTAGAAGACGTGTTCTGAATTAAACTCCGAGAGACGGATTAGTTCCAACCAAAACTGCTTACTTTAACTTTAGTGTGAACAACATTTTTTACTTAGAAGCTAAGTGCACTTCAAGTGCTTTTCAAGTACACTTGAACTAAAGTGCACTTTAACTGCACTTTAGAGTCTAGTCTGAACCTACCTAATGTACGAGACGATTTAGTACGATGAAATACACGTTTATTATTTTCTTGATTAACAGGTATTATAGTATCGGCAGAACAATGAACTTCGTCAGACTTCCGTAGAGATGGAACTACAAGACAAATTTAGTCCAGAAAAACTCGCGCTAGCAACATATGCTGAACGTAAAGAACCTACTCCAAGCTTCCGGTCGCTCATCAGAGATTTTTGTGATTACACTTCTGCGCATGGTTTTGGGAGGATAAACGCATCCCGACACTGGATCCGCACAATATTCTGGATTTTGCTTTGTGTGGCTGCTGTAACCATGACAACGGTACAACTACACATGCTGTATAAAAAGTACCAATCAAGACCACTCACTACACTGGTTGAGATTGAAACGGCTACGGTACGCATAGCTGCCATTTCACCGTTCTTGATCCTCGCTGAATTTGGTCAATTCTTATTCAAATAGGGGTGCTGTTTACTTGGTAAATTAAAAATTCATAACTTTTCGTTGGCATATCAGTGAAGGCTCTTGGTAAAGAGCAAAAGGCAGTAAACGTTACTGGGTCAAACTGGCAAAAAAGCTATAATAATTGTAGCTTGATCATGCATTTCAAAGATAGTACGAATCTTGATCCAGTTTTAGCTAGTTTGGGGCTTAAAGTGGCTCGATCCCTGGCCGTAGTTTTATGCTAGCAGTTTTCGTCAGTTCTAATATCTTTCTTACAAACCAACAATACTACTGAGCTCGCCGATGAAATAAAAACCAACTATTGTAAAAAGGTCTCGTCTGTGAAAAAGGTTACAGATCAGAAGCTGTCCGAGATCAGCAAAATGATTTCTTTTTAAGGCCGATACACTGAGACAAATTTCCTCCGCCAAGACGTTCCTTCAGACTCTCCTCTTCAGAATTACAGTAATGTTTACTTTCATTTTGAAAGTTTCGTTGTCTTATTTGGTTTTTATAAAACTGATTTAAAAAAAAGCAAGTGACAAAACTCAGAATAAATCTTTTATGAAATGTTTGGGAAAAATCTGCACGGTTTTTGGGGAAAAAAGTTGCTCAATTAACTTACATGAATTGACAACCAGCTCATTCATTAAGCCGATAGTTAAACCTTTGTTAATAAAGAAAAGTTGTTTCAAGCTTCATTTACATGTGTTATGATAAAAGCAAATATATATTTTTTCTTTTTAACTTGAATGCAGAATCTTCCATTCCCAACCGTTACGTTCTGCAACTTCAATGCCATTAAGAAAGAGTCGCTTTATCTAGCCATGGATCAATACAGTGAAATGGAAACATTTATCAAGCAATTGTTGGAACATGGTATGTATAAAAAAAAGTCAATAAAA